TCTCCAATTTTAGGTGGTAGTAGAGGTGCAATATTTTTTTTTATTAGCTAAGGTCTTTTGATGAAATTTCTTTGTGAAATTAGAGAAATTTTTATGTGATCATTGTGTGTCGGGCCGAAATAATTTCTGTGTTGAATTTTCTCTGCGAAAATGTTGAACCACCCAATTACCATGAAAATATTATATATATTTTATTTTATAAAATCTTAATTAAACTAAAAACCCCATTTAAATACTGAGTTAATGCCAATGGCACAAAAGTGTTATTGAAATTAAAGATTTGGTCTCTAATCTGAAATTTGTGGAAATACGGTTGAAACCCGTTTAATTTAGCTATTTTTTTCCTTAAAAGATCAGGTTGTCTAAATTTGTCTAAAGCTGTAATTTTGGAAAATTCTGAATTTGGATAATGACTTATAAAACTTTGAAAGGTATGGGAATTGGGGTGTGCCGATAGGCCCAGCTCGGGGTTAGGGTACATTGAGAAAAATACTTGCAAAAAATCAAGTTGATTAGAAATCGATAGTCCTTTCATGGAATTGCATTTGTACCTAAAAAAAAATAATGGCAAATGTGATTTGAAGTATAAAACTGAATACAAATGCAACAGTGGTTATGGGTGTCTCCCACACAGCAGTTACCCCAATTTCGTAGTAGTTTGTATGTGATGTATGTATTCATCTATTTGGTAGTTTGTCTGTCTGTGTTTCACAGACATGGCGGCTATCTATCAAACTACAAGGCATGGAGTAAACAATTTTGCAACATAAAATTCATTTGATAACTTCTTCGAAAAAGTATTGGGTGTAGTTTGAAGGATGATTAATATATTTGTTTGAGAGAAAACCAACAATTGAGAAAATTGAAGAAAATGGGAATTGTTTGGGATGTCAGAATGTTAGAAAATAATTTGGTAGTTACTGAGAGGCAGTGGAAAGAGTGGGGTTGTTTTCATCTTTTGGAGCAATTCTATAATTTTTGTTGCTCTGGTACAGATTTTTTACTTGTTCCTTATATGCATGTGTATGTTATATTTCTTGGTGTTTATTTTGTTGCTTTGATGTGTATTTGTTTATGATGTGGCAGAGTGCTACCGAATAATATAATATTGTATACAATTCATTATGTGGAGTCCAATGAAACAATATTGGATATACAATTCATTATGTGAAGGGTTAAGGTGGTTGAAAGCTTGTTGGTTTTGGCTTTTGAAAATGAAAACAAATGGAAGAAATTTTTTTAATCTTTGTGTATAATAAGGAAAATTTGATTGTGATTATTTAGTGGAAATTTTGAAAAGATGCTAGAGTTTATTTTTTTATGTATTATTTATTTTTTATGTTTATGCAACAAGGTTGTAAGGGTTTTGGATGCTAGGTTAAGGGCCTTAAGGCTTGTTGGAAAGAAATCTAGTTAGCTATGTGATAGTAAGCTTAGACTGAAATATTAAGCAGGAATCGGGATGGGTGATTAAAACAGATAATTCTTTTCTGACGTGTGGGAGAATAAGCCGTTAATGTTCTAAAGTCTTAGAATCTCCTCGGTTTCATATCTAAGAGTAGGTTGCAAAAACAGCCTCAAGATAGCCCCCCCCCCCCAACCACCACAAAAAAAAATGATTTTTTTAATATAAGAATTGGCCTTTTCTCTAAGTTCAAAGGATATTAAAGTCATATCACACCTATGACTTAGTGCTTATCAAATAGGGGTTTCTTATAATGTTACATGCCTTCTTCGATTTGTTTATCTTATTGCAACGTTTATACTACCATATGAATCTTGCAGATAATAATTCTTTTCCTGCATAATTTTTCTTCGGCGACTGATGATTCAGATAGACATTACATGTACTTTCCAACAGCCAACTTATGTTGTCCTTTTGTGTTCTAATTGCTCTCACTGATTTGGCTTATATTGTTTCTCTCTAAGTAAAATACATGAAATATGCCTTTAATTGGGTGGGGTACTTGCAGGAGCAGTGGAATAGTAAGCCACCATTACCTGGAGACAATTAAACAACTGTACTTTTAAGTTATAGATAAATTACTTTCTGTTTTTCCTTTTTCCTTTTGAAAAAAAAAAAAGGTTTAGAATTTTCTTTCCTCTATATTAGTTCTCAGACAACAAGGTGCCCTTAATTTTATTGAGAAATAATCTCCTTGCTAATTTATTCAGTAAATGTTTCTAGTTTGATTTGAGCAACTAGTGAAGGAATTGGACTATTTGCAAGAGAAAGCATAAAAATCTTAACAGTGCAAGAGAATTTCTTTGTTCATAATTCATGCAAGTTATGCTTCAATTTTATTGTTCATAGTGTAGTTCAACAGGGCTCAGAGAACTCTCCCTACCTCTTGGGAGAATATTAAACATGAAGGATTTTCAAGGGCAATCCGCTACTGGAACGGGAGGGAGGAGATGTCAATTGGTCCAGTTTTATGCAATAATGACATTTCTTCGTATCATTGTAGCGACAGGAATAAACTGCAAGCAGCTAGAAGCCCTAGAATTGTTAGGCTTGGTCTTAACTCAACAATTGTCTCCTGAAATTGCCAACAGTCTAAAGGACTGAAACTATTGAGATTAGAAATGGTTCATATTTCAAAAGTTAGTCTGAAGAATTTACTATCAAACTGTAAAAAACTTCAGAAAGTAGAGATTTGGCATTGTCTTACTTCAGAAGGTACAGAATCAAATTTCTTAGCGTCATGTGAGATAAAGAAGAGAGAGATGAATGGTGTTACTAAAGGGTCCCTTAGCAGAGACGCAGAACTGTATGACATGAAGAATCTACTGAATTTACTTTGGCAGTGCAGTAATTGACCGAGCTTATGAAGAATCAAACATGGTAAGTCACACAATGGGTTCAATATGTGAAAGTTGTCAGTTTTGAGAAGGCAAAAGTTAGAGGTATGAGTGGTATCTCATCCCCTTTTATATTAAATTATCACCATAATTATAGGAGTTCCCTAAGGCATAAAATAAAAATACTGAATACACATCTGAATAAATAGGAATTATTCTAACACATTCTAACACTTCCCCTCAAGCTGATGCAAAGATATCTCTTATGCCCAGCTTGTTAAGAATGTCACGGAATAGTTTATTCCCTAATTCTTTGGTGAGAACATCAGCTAGTTGGTCCCCAGACCTCACGGATGGCGTACATATAGTGCCACTAGTGCGCTTTTCCTTGATAAAATGCCTATCAATCTCCACATACTTGGTCCTGTCATGCTTAACTGGATTGTGAACTATATTGATGGCTGCCGTATTGTCACCGTATAGCAGCGTAGAATTTGTCTGATGAATCCCCAAATCCCTCAAAAGTAGTCTAATCCATAATAGCTCACACATACCTTGAGCCATAGCTCTGAATTCAACCTCTGCCCTGGACCTTGCAACTATATTATGTTTCTTGCTTCTCCAAGTAACTAGATTTCCTCCAATAAAGGTACAATAGCCAAATGTTGACCTTTTATCAGTGACTGATCTGGCCCTTAGTAGCAGGAATCGTCTCAGATGGCGACGACTCCGAGGAAAAAGCGCGATTTTGCACTTCTGAGGAAGAATCGCAGCAGAATCGTGAATCTGAGGAGAGGGAAACGCGAATCTGATGCGAGAAGGGAGCACTATTGAGAGGGCAAGGAGAGTACCTGGTCATTGGCGCCATTTGACGACTTCAATCTCGCCGTTTGACTTCCCCGTCGAAGCCCTAGTCTTCGTTCCTCTCTTCGAAGCCCTAGGTCTTCGTCTCTTTCTCTCGCTTCTCTCACCCTCGATCTCCTCTTCGTCTCTGCCTCTCTCTTTCTTCGTCTCTGTCGCTTCTCTTGCCTCTCCCTCTCTGATCTATTATGTTCTCTCTCTCTCTCTCTTTACCTCTCCGTTTTCATTGATATATATAATATAATTTATCATATAATATATATATATATAAATATAATATAATTTATAAATTATAAATTATAATATAATTTATCATAAACAATATAATTTTTATTTGTAAAATAAAAAATTATTTATTTTATCATATATAATATAATTTTTATTTATTATTTATTTTTTTAACAATTATTTCTTAACTTTTTAACATATAATAAATCATCTAATTGTTTAAAAGAAATCTATTTAAATCATATATAATAAAAAAATCTTAAAAAATTTATAAAATAAAACATCTAATTTTTATTTATTATTTATTTTAACATAATTTATTATTCATTATAATAAATAAAATATAATTAATAAAAATAATACATAAGCGCTTCTAATTTACGACTCCTCTAAGTGGTCGTGTTCCCCCGCTCTCGCTCCCGCCCGCTCTCCCGCTTCGTGCAACTAAGATCTGGCCCAATCAGCATTTGTATATGCCTCCACACTAAGATGACCATGTTTAGAGAAATAGAGATCCTTTCCCGGAGAAGACTTCAAGTACCTCGGAATCCACATAACTATTGTACGTGGAGCATGCATAAACTGACTAACCATACTCATTGTGATAGCAATGTTAGGACGCGAATGGGATAAGTAGATAAGCTTACCCACTAGCTGCTGATATCTCCCCCTGTCTACAAACTCGCCTCCTTGATCCTCACTAAGTTTTAGTCCAGGCTCTAGTGGTGTATCACAGGCTTTACTTCCAAGCATCTCAGTTTTTTTTAGCAAATCAAGCACATACTTTCTTTGACATATGATGATGCTATCTTTGGACCGAGCAACTTCAATATCGAGAAAGTACTTCAAGCTGCCTAAGTTTTTGATTTCAAACTCATTGGCCAAATACTTCTTTAACCAAGGAACCTCCTCAGCGTCATCCCTTGTGAGTACAATATCATCCACGTAAACAATAAGAGTTGTCGTCTTACCATATGAGAAGTGTTTCACGAACAAAGTATGATCAGCTTGACTCTGTTTGAAACCATATCGCAACATGGCCTGAGTAAACCTCTCAAACCAAACCCTAGGCGATTGTTTGAGTCCATAAAGTGACTTGCGTAGTCGGCTCACTTTTCCTTTGGTTTTAAGTCTGGGACAATGCCCATGTACACTTCTTCTTCCAAATCTCCATGAAAGAAGGCATTCTTCACATCAAATTGATGGAGAGGCCAGTTGAGATTAGAGGCAAGGGAGAAAAGGACTCTGGCAGAGTTCATCTTAGCAACATGAACAAATGTCTCCTGGTAGTCTACTTCATAAGTTTGCTTAAAGCCCTTGATCACCAATCTTGCCTTGTAACGTTCAATTGAACCATCGACTTTGTGCTTCACTGTGTACACCCACTTATATCTAATAGGTCGTTTGTCCTTAGGTAACTCCGCCAATTCCCAAGTGCCATTTTTAGCTAGGGCTCTCATCTCCTCCATCATGGCATGTTTCCACTCAAGAGTAGAAATAGCATCTTGAAAATTAGAAGGAAGACTCACAAAATAAACTTTAGACAGAAAAGCTTTATAGGAAGAAGACAGATTAGTGTATGAGACAAAATGAGAAATATGATGTTGAGTACAAGACCTAACCCCTTCTTTTTTTAGCAATGGGGACATCTAGATCAGAAAGAATAGATTTACTTGGAGTTTCATCAAAAGAAGAGGATTCTGGACACTCATCAGGAGGAGAAGATAGCAGTGGAAAATCTAGTCTCTTGTACCCAAGTAACTTGTTTTCTATCCTTATCCGTGACATAAACTTTTCTGTCTTTCACTGTGGATTCAGACTCAACATTTTTCACTACGGAGTCAGACTCAACATTCTCAATAGCTGGATCACTATTAACATTCTCAACCTGCTCAATCACTGATGGTAGTGACACAGGAATTGCTTCCCGCCAAGGCTCCCCCCTGAAGGAATGACTAGGACACCGAGGAGGACAGGAAGTAGGACTAAGACTCAAAGAAAGACTCATCCATAGAGACAAATCATTTTCGAGAGGGGGGATGATAACACTTGTAGCTCTTTTGTGTGGTGGAGTAACCCAGGAAAACACACCAAATAGACCTAAGATCCAACTTACCACAGGTAAGAGAGTGGTTATGAACAAAGCACACACACCCAAAGGTTTTGGGAGGAATGAAGAAACCAGACAAGTGGGACCCTAACAAGACCTGAAGAGAAGTGTGTTTGTTGAGGACTTGGGTAGGCAAACAATTGATGAGGAAGGCTGCAGTGAGAATAGCTTCCCCCCAATATGATCTAGGAACACCATTTCAAAGGACAAACAAAATGTAATATCAAGAAGATGGCGGTTTTTACGCTTTGTAACACCATTCTGTTGAGGGATATTGGTACAAGAAGTTTGGTGAATAATACCATGAGTGGCAAAATAGCTGGCAAGGCCAGAGTCAATGTATTCCCTCCCCATTATTACAGCGTAGAATTTTGACAATTGCCCAAAACTGAGTGCAAATCATTTTATGAAAATTTTGAAACACCGAAAAAACCTCACATGTGCCCTTCATAAGATACACCCAGGTGGTCTGAGAACAATCATCAATAAAGGTGACGAACCATCGGTAACCCTTTAAAAACACAAAACGAGAGGGACCCTTTACATTAGAATGAATCAATGAAAAAGGAGCTAAACTTTTATTAATAGAAAGAGCAAAAGAAGCTCTGTGTTGTTTTCCAAGTTGACACGACTCACAGTCAAACTCAGAAACATTATTTTTCAAAAAAACGGAAGGAAAAAGATACTTAAGTAACAAAAAAGATGAATGCCCAAGACGACGGTGCCACAGCCATAGGTCTTCCTTTGTAGATGGTAACTGAATGAATGAATGAGCTCGCTTGTCTGCTTGATCCAGGATATAGAGACCATTCTCGTTTCTGCCATTCCCAATCATCTTCTTCGTGATAAGGTCCTGAAACAGACAATGATCAGGAAAAAAGGTTACACTACAAGTTAAGTCCCAAGTAATACGACTCAAAGATAAAAGATTAACACTAAAATCGGGAACATGTAGTACAAAAGACAAAGGAATGGAAGCAGTGGCATGAATTACACATTTTCCTGACACAGAAGAAATGGTACCATCAGCAATTCGAACTTTATCCTGTCTTGAAGAAGGGGTATATGCTGAGAACAAATCAGAAGACCCAGACATATGGTCAGAAGCACCAGAATCGATAATCCAAGGCAACGTTTGATAGGAAAGCACTTGTAGAAGAAGCTAAGTTACCTGAATGAGCAAAGTTTACCTGAAGGTGAACCAGACGCCCGAAGGTCTATCAAGTGGCGAAAAGCGACCTTCAACTCAGAAGTAGAAAACTCAGAGATATCAGTAGATGAAACAACCGGAGCGGGGGACTGTGGCTTAACTGTATCAGAATGATGAGTTCGAGCATTGGGCCCTTGGCCTCTAGACTAACCCAAGCGACCCCTCGAGACCCAGAACGATCTCCATGACCCCCAGATGGCGGCTTATGCAACTTCCAACAAGTCTCACGGGCGTGGTGAGGGTGACAACAATAGTCACAGAAAAGAGTATCCTTCTTAGAAGGAGGACGGGAACCATGATCCCCATCTCAAAAGGGTGCAAAAACCAGGGCAGATCAATCAGAAGAGGCAAACGGAAGCATAACAGAATGACGACTCTCCTCATTCTGCACATAAGCAAATGCTTCTTGGAGAGAAGGAAGCACATCCATACCAAGCACACGACTCTTAACAGGATCAAACTTCACATTCAGATCTTCCAAAAACTTGAAGACCCGCACTTGTTTAACAAATTTCCGATACCCAGTAGAATCAGTGGGACAGACAGGCTTGTAGTCCTGAAGATGATCAAGCCTTTTTCACCCATTGTTAAGGAAAGTAAAATACTGGAGGATAGTCATCTCACCCTGGACGGATCTGTCAATGGAGCATCGCAACTCAAAAGTCTATGAAAAATTGCCTTTGCAGGAATACGTAGTGGCCACAGCCTCCTAAATATCTTGTGCTGTGCCCATAGACAAGTATCCCTCACCAATCTCCGGAACCATGGAATATATCAACCAGCCCATGATAAGAGAATTGGCAATCTCATACTGATCATAACCCGGATCTGTGGGACTGGGGGCCTGAACTCGCCTATCAACATATCCCAGCTTCCTTTTGCTCTTCAAAAATATAGTCAAACTCAGCAACCACGCTAGATAATTCTGACCATTAAAAAGAGAGGTGGTGATTTTCTGGCCAGGGTGGAGGGAATCAGTCATAGTAGTAGGCAAACCAGGACTCGCACCCTGAGGAGCAGGCTGTGAAGCAGTAGACTCACTAGTCAATTCTGCCATGAATACTCTACTAAGGAACCCTCACAACACACACTAGTCTAATCACAAACTCGAAAGGTGGGAGAACATACCAAACAGAACCAAAGGAATTTAAGAGAGCAATTTTTTTTTTTTTTTAGAAGAAGACAGAAAAGAAAAAAAACAGAGGAGAAAAAAAAATTACATGAATAGAGAAGCTCTAATGATCACCGAATAAGAACTTCAATGCAACCCGGACTAAGACCCAAGAGATAGACGACTCAGAGAGAAGAAAGAGTCGACTAAACCAAAGAGAAGTGAGAGGCGATTGAACCAGAGAGCTCCTAAGTGGCTATTGGCAGCCTGAGGAGGGAGGAAAACCCACTTGATTGAACCTCCAAGCTTGCCGACAGACTTGGGTTGGGAAAAGAGGAGCTCCGACGAGCCCTAGGGTGCTGGCGAAGCCCTCGAAGGCTGCGACTAGGGCTGCTGAAGTCCTGGGAGGGTGCGACTAGGACTGTTGGGTCCCAGGAGGCTGTGATTAGTCCTAGCGAAACCCTAGGGACATGGCGTCTGGTGTGGTGTGGACTGCAGCTGGGGTGGTGGTGCGGTTGTGGTGTGAAGGTGGCTGTAGGGTTGTGGTTTCTAGGATTTTAGAGACGCTTTGATACCATATCAGTTTTGAGAAGGAAAAAGTTAGAGGTATGAGTGGTATCTCATCCCCTTTTATATTAAATTATCACCATAATTACAAGAGTGCCCTAAGGCATAACATAAGAATACTGAATATACATCAGAATAAATAGGAAATATTCTAACACATTCTAACAAGAGTTATAATATTTATAGGATTCTTGTTTTAGAACTTATTTTGTGCTTGTATCAGGGTTTATATTGTTTTTTGTGAACACAGTTTTATTTTTTATTGTCTGCCAAGTAAAAACCTTCCCATTTTGTCTTCTCTCTGTCGAATCAAGTTGTCGCTGCAAAAAAAAAAAAAAAAAAAATCAGTTTTATATTTTTGTTTTCAACCGAACAATCAAACAAGATATTTGGTTGGAACATTTCATTGAGGGCAGTGGTCGAGTCTGGTGGTAATTACTACTGTGGCTTGTTTACATGTTTCCTTGTTTTTTGTTCTAACTTACTGACCTTGAACATGGGTCTATTTGGGAGCATTGATTTTTAGCCAAAAAGTCAAAAAGGCACTACAAGTTGTCAAATCATTCTCTATACTTTTTTTGTATATCTTTTTATAAAAAGCCAAAAAGCCACTAAAAAAGCCAATTCTTAAACACCCAAATGTTTGTAATTATTGAGTGGATTTCAAGTTTAGTAGCCCTAGAAAACTGGTGCTGGTATAGTGCCTTGGAGATTGGAATAATTGGATTGACTCATCAACATAGTTGTTCCTTGGTTTGAATGTTCCAATTGTTAAAATTGTTTCTTTTTGTGGGCTGCCTTGACAATGCCTCAGTTTGTTACACTTGGATTAAATGGGTTGATACACTTCTACCATTTATAACGAAAGACCGCTAAGTTGAGTTATAGCGATCCCGGGTTTACCCTTGTTGTACAGTGATCCGGACATGTGTCCGTAGATGTTGGTAGTTGTTTATTATCTTGTTTGCATCCTTTTTACTGGTATATTGAGTTATAGGATGTGTTGGGCAGGTTGGTTGTGTTTGGGAGCCTAGTGTTGCTGCCCAGATTTTTGGACCTTCGCTCGAGCGAGGAGTTGGTCGCTCGAGCGAGAGTTGAGTTCGTGTCTGGTGGGTCGAGCCAGAGTGGCTTCACTCGAGCGAGCGATGGCGTCTGGTTCTGGACCTGAGAGTTGTATTTCTTGCTCGAGCGAGCTTTTCTTGGCTCGAAGCGGTCTGGTTTGTTCTTCGCTCGAGCGAGAGTCTGTCGCTCGGAGTGTGCTTCTGGTTGCAGACCTGAGGTTGAGTTGTTGGCTCGAGCGAGCGTCCTTTCGCTCGAGCCGACTTCTGAGTTTTGGCTCGAGCGGAACTTCTTGGCTCGGCGAGATTTTCTGTGTCCGTGGTCGCTCGAGGACCAGTCTTCGCCGAGCGAGCGTGTTTTAGGTCAGCCGGATAGTACGTTTTGACATCACTTTTCACTTCCTTTTCTTTCAAACCTAGATCGGACTCTCTCTCTCTAAACTTACATTCTCTCTAAGAATTGATCTCCTAGAGTGTGAATCTAGCCTAGGGCATTATATAAAAAGATAGAGGGCGTTGAGGGTTTGGTTAATCTGAAAAGTTGGATTTGAGCACGTTGTCTTCGGAGTCTTTCATCTCCTTTTTGCTCAAACTTCGAGTAGGGGATTAATCCTCCTCTATATGGATTTTGTCTTCTAAATTTTAGTATTTTGAGATGTTGGGTTGGTTTGGTAATTTGTGGAAGTTTGGGGCTTTTTGTGCTATTTTACAAAAGTTGGGGTTTGTTCATAATAAACCTAGATGCATGTTTGGCATAGAGAAATGGAATGAATGTTGAATTATTGATGAAAATGGAACCTAAGGGTTGAAATGTTAATTATGGGAATTGGCCTAATTACATTGTTTAATTAATTGGGATAATAATTGAGAAGAATGAGGAAATGAAATGTTGATTGAATATCCATTTGTGCATTATTTTTGTTTAGAAATAACTGCTTTGGGGCTATCGTGGAGGATACGTCGTGATTATTGATAGAACAATGCAGTGATTGAATAGCGAAACGGAAACTAATCATGGAATGTGCATGAAACTGTGACGGTTGATAGAATAACGTTACTGTATTATTAGAGTGATTGTTATATAAACCAATGTTGTTTGTATACGTTATGTGTAGAGGAGAAAAGTGGGGGATTGACTCGCGGTTTAGCAGGGAAGGAGGGGATGTACGGGTCTAAACCGGATTAGTCGTATGGGAAGAGAGATAGGGGATGAACTCCGTAGGATACAACTCATATTGCTTGTCTCAGAGAAGTGAAGATAGAGCTTAGTATGCTCTATCGTGTGATATATGGGATATTGTTGTTATACATCTCTGTTAGAATGTGGATACAGCTTACTTGCTTATCTGTGATAGATATGGTATTGTTATACGATATCTGTTGAGAACGGGATACACGCTTATATGCTTATCTGTGAATGTGGAGATATGTTTTTATACATATCTGTTGACAATGATGATAGAGCTAACATGCTTATCATGTCGAAAAGGGAAAATGCAGAGTAACTTGACGCATAAAGTCGTATGACAGTAAATATGTGATTTATGTGATGTATCCGAGTGTTTGGCCCATCTATCATTGCTAAATCTTTTAGTTCATTATTCATGGTTGGGTTTAGTATTATATTTCTACTGGGCTGCTTCGATCCGCTTCACCTATATGGGAAATCATTTTCAGCGTACTGGTAGCTGCACCTCCAAGGATGCTGGGGGCTAGACGAGCGGACATACTTTTTGTCGTTATACTTTTTGATGTATTAGCATGTATATTCAAGCCAAAGGCTTAATGTGTGATTGAGTTAGTGCTCTTTTGTTGTAAC